CCTGCCTGCCCGCCTGCTCCAGGAGAGGCGGTCTCGAGCCTGCGCATCCTCAGGCGACAGCCTTTCCTTTCTTAGCCCACCGATCCTTTCCAGATGCCCTGAGAGCCCCCACCTACAAAGGAAAAACCTGGGGGTGGGGGGGAAGTGAGACGCCGTGGGTTCCACCTTCTCCACCACAGCGCTGGACGGCCAGGCCACACTTTCCATTCCTGTTCCTTTCGTCCCCCCTTTGACTGCCAAATCCGCCTCTCCCTTCCCGTCCCCACGCGCCTACATCTCGCTCTCTCCCTGCATCCCTTTCCTGCCTCCTATCCCTGCTTTGTTCCTTTCCTTTTATAAGTTACAGATGGACAGGCTCAAACTCCGCTGCTGCGTAGACTCATATTCCTTAATGTCAGATCATTAATATGGGAAAGAACTTTCAAACAGAAAAGGAAAGCTTCTTAATCATGATATTACAATCTCTCCCCCACCCCCAACCACAAAGACAATTTCCTTTTCTTTCTTGTCGCCCCCTCTTTTTTCTTTTCTCAGTCTACTGGAGCAGCGGGGACACCTGCAGATCTAAGAGAAGGGAGAGAGTAAGAATGCGCTGTTTTGCCTATTAAATGTAGGCAATTTCTTGGCATTCAGGTCTTCAGATTTTTAGGTTGTGGCTTTGCTGCTTTGAGGTTGAGTGAATTGTCAGATAAAGGGATACCCAGATCCAAGAACCAAAAATATATCTGAAACAAAGCCAAAGATGATGTTTGGGTTATCTGTTGTTTTACATAATTCAGAATTAGTAGCATAACTAAGTACTAAAGTGCAGAAGTTGCATGTTTTTCAAACCCCGAATTTGTAGCAAGCAGATCTGAAGCAACCAATGTAATGAGTATAACAATTAGTATTCAATTAATTTCTAAATCACAAATTATGACTCATTTATAGAAAGGCTTTCTAGTTATCGTTGCCATTATCACCAATTTAAGTGTTAATTAGTAAAAGGTATGGGGCAAGTGTAATAGGAAAAAGTATTTCTGTGCTAATTAGCCTTGGGGGAAAATAATGTATACAGACATCACTTTGAAGCATTCTCCCTATTTTTCTTGAATTCTTTCTCAGGATTTTCTTTCCTTGTTAAACCTCTGAAATACCTTCTAGGGAGGAACATATAATCACATCCGACTTTTAGCAGGCCAGCTTGCTGATCTTTTGATATGGCAACAACTTAGCTGTTGTTTTGTAAAGGGAAGCCTTTAACTACAATTCAAGATGTTCTGAGCTTGCCAAGCTAGGTTGGTAGAACACATACTAGAGGGGGAAAAGTATCCTTTCTTACTGTTTTCAACTAGATTTAGTAATTTGTGATAAAAATGCTTAGATGAGAAATCACTTGAGTTACATGCCTTATGCTTTCTCTTTTCATGTGTGAGACTAAATAAAAGTGTGTCTGTACATGCAGTCCCATTCAATAGAACAAAATGCCTAAATATTGGCAAAACCAGGCAAGTCAGAAATTTTCATTTCTGCTACTGCACCAACATAGATAATCCATTGCTAAACAAGTCCACTGATTAACTCACCTGTGAGTTACATACCCCAAACCATAATTCATCGATGTTTTCTTTTACATCCTATTAAGTACATTGCTCTCCAGGCAAAACTCCTTCCCTTCTTGATGCACATGAACTCTAGGATGGGGGTTGGAGGCAGGGAAGGGGATGCTGGAAAGCTTCAGAGTGATGGCTCCCAGGGAACTAGTGGGCTTGAGGGGCTCATTCCCAATCACCACGAACATGCCTCTGGGCCCAGGTGGGAGAGAGAGGGTTGTGGAGCAGGACGTGCTTTGGCAGTTCCATACAAAAGTATGAAGATGCTTTTTGGCTATGCAAGTGTCAGCCAGAAGTGCAACAGTGATGGCATCTAAGTATAAACTCATTAGCCTTGGAAAAACTGGGAGTGAGGCAGGAGAAACATTTCACCTTCCTAAATCCAGATAGAAAACCAAGCCCAGGGGCGCCTGGGTGGCGCAGTCGGTTAAGCGTCCGACTTCAGCCAGGTCACGATCTCGCGGTCCGGGAGTTCGAGCCCCGCGTCAGGCTCTGGGCTGATGGCTCAGAGCCTGGAGCCTGTTTCTGATTCTGTGTCTCCCTCTCTCTCTGCCCCTCCCCCATTCATGCTCTGTCTCTCTCTGTCCCAAAAATAAAATAAAAAAAAAAAAAAAAAAAAAAAAAAAAAAAAAAAAAAAAAAAAAAAAGAAAACCAAGCCCATTAATTATATCTATGGGGAATAGGAGTTTGAAGAGTGGAAAGGTTAGAGAACTGGTTATTTCCGTGGAAGAAAAGGAAGGACCAAATTACAAGGTAATGGAAGGTCTAATTATAGATAACATTCTATTATAATTACACAGAACAATAGTAATCTAGTGAACAATAGAAAAGTAAATTCTGACGGGTCTTTCAAGAGTGATTTATAACTAATACCTTAATTGTAGAAAGTATAGCTGTGAAATAGTAACTTGTTTTATTTTTTTAAGGTGTTTTTTTTTTAAAGAAAACATCCTTTTCACATTTCAACTGTTGTCCTAAAGTAGTAGTAAACTTGGTGAAAGAAACTATTTTAGCCATGTTGACGTCATTAAAAACATTGTTAGAACTCTTCCCTAGGTTTAATGACTGTGGCTTTTAAAATTATTATGTAAAGGGGCGCCTGGGTGGCTCAGTCGGTTAAGCGTCCGACTTCAGCTCAGGTCATGGTCTCGCGGTCTGTGAGTTCGAGCCCGCGTCGGGCTCTGGGCTGATGGCTCAGAGCCTGGAGCCTGCTTCCGATTCTGTGTCTCCCTCTCTCTCTGCCCCTCCCCCGTTCATGCTCTGTCTCTCTCTGTCTCAAAAATAAAAACGTTTAAAAAAATTAAAAATAAATAAAAAATAAAATTATTATGTAAAAAATAGCTTTTCTTTATTACATAAACAACACATTGTCATTATAGAAAAAGAAAGTACAGGTTAGCAAAATGAAGAAAATAAACTCTGGATCCTACCCAACTACAGATAATTGCTAAGACCTTGGTCTGTATCTTTAGAATATTTCTCCATCCATACACACACACGCACACACACACACACACACACACACACACACACACACACACACACAGTTTCTTGATTTGTTTTTATAACAGAGCATACTGAAATACGTTTTGAATCTGTGCAACTTATTCTTTAGAATACCCCCAAGATGGCTTTTTTTTAAGAATTGCACAGGTTTAGGTAGAGGCAAAACTGAAGCTTTGAATTTTAAATCGGACCTCTGTTGAATGTGTTCTTTCTCTCTAGATACCATTGGACATTGACCTAGTAAGGGCCCTCAACAACCTCTAACCCAAATTATTTCCATAGCTTGCCACTTGGTCTTGCCTTCAGTGTTTACTTGCTCCAATTCCTACTGGAATGACCTTTTCAAAATACGTAACTTCTTGTCAGCCCTTTGTTTCAAAATTTCAAAGCAAAACTTTGAAACCCCTCGCTCGTGTAGCATTTACTTGAATTCTTTACAAAGAAGACATTTTCTTAATGTCCTAATTAGAATCAATTGTCTCTCTCTCTCTCTGCTCCAAGAGCATATTGTACATACTTACATTTATACACCTATTACCTTACATCTTAGTTATTTATTCCCCCCAGTAGGTCATGGCACAGAGCAGAAGGGGCATGCCTAATTACTCCTTGCATCCCTATTCAGGGAGCGCTATCTGGAGTGTGCTGTTAAGGAGGCTCTTGATATGCTCAGAATAAATGAAATAAGATGTTTTCTTAGTGTGGTTTGTAAAAGCTTTGAAGACAGTTTTCGAAGAGGAATTAGAAAAATGCTCTGAGTGATGGGCTGTACTCATTCAGACAATTTGGTCTTGAATGCTTCTTGAAAGTCCAATACTGTCCAATGGAACTTCCTGCAATGGTGAGAGTGTTCTATATCTGTACTGCCCTGTACGATAGCCGCTAGCTACATGTGGGTATTGTGACTGAGGAACTGAATTGTAAATTTTAGTTAATTTATATTTGAGCAGCCACATGTGACTAATGGCCACCCTATTGCACGGCATAGCTCTGGAGTCACATCTCAACTTTTTAAAAGTTTGGCATCTTTATTAATGGGCTTTACTGCCTCTCAACTTCACTCTTTAGAATGTCTGCAGGCAAACCTTCCCCGATAATGAGGGCAGATCTTAAAGAGTCCTGATAACAAGCCTAACACTCTCAATAATTTCTTCCTTTTTTAAGTTTTTTTTTTTACTTGGTTTTCATGGGAGTCGGCACTTGTGGATGAAACAAACATCTTGTCTTAGCCCAGTGCTACGTAGAAGAAAATGTGAATGGCAGTAAAATGGAGTGTTTCAAGTTGGTTTTGGATTCCATCTTTCGATATTTCCAAAGGAATAGCAGTATGTCAACACACACATACACACACATAGACACCCCTAGATACCTCAGTATAGGTAGATAAATACTTCTTTTAAATCTTTAACCCCAATTTTAGATTTGTTTTCTACTCGTGAGACAAAAAAAAAACAATAAAACAATGGCACAACAAAAACATCCCATGCATGATGCACCTATTTCAAATTTGCATGAATCTAAGTTAAACTATATGGAGGCACTTGGCTGGCTCAGAAGAGTGTGTGACTCTTGATCTCAGAGTCAAGTTTGAGCCCCATGGGGTGTAGAGACGGCTTAAATAAATAAAACTTAAAAAAATTGGGGCACCTGTGTGGCTCAATGGGTTAAGCGTCCGACTTCAACTCAGGGCATGATCTCACAGTTCATGGGTTCGAGCCCCGCATTGGGCTCTCTGCTGTCAACACAGAGGCTGCCTCAGATCCTCTGTCCCCCCC